CAATTGAAAAATCATCAGACTTATTGGATACGTAATAAAAATAAATAACATTGCAAAAACTAAAATTTTGAGACTACATCAACACAAAACGACTTGAAACAAAATAATAATGTTATTAACACAAAGAACCTGGTCGTTTTTTATTCCAACTACCCCTTCGAACACACAGTATGCTTCGAACTGGTAATCCTATACTCTATATACTGATGTTTACTGAATAATCTTATGGTTTTCATATCATTGTTTACAGATAATATGATCAGCCAGAAGAGCAAAGTCATGTATATGTTTTCAATCGCTTATTATATTGCAGGGTTGCCTTAAAGCCATTTTCAGGAGAAGGAAAACTGAAGAACAAGGAAATCCAATATGCTTTATGCTCTTGAAACGATCTCAGTTTCTCACCGCAAGAAATGAGAACGTGCTGATATAAGAATTCTGTAGTAAAAAATCAATGGATTGATATAAGAGACATGGACCAGAGATGCGCAATAGGTTTATTAATTCTTACCCCACAACAGAAACGAATCGGAGGTTCAATACGGTTCAGAATCGAGAAGTGAACGATAATAATGAATTTATAATAGTTGTTTATCTATATAGTAAATTCAATAGTTAATATCATACTCAAACATTTTGAGGTTGAATAATATATAATTCCTGAATGGAATCTGAATTGCTCAAACATTTGCTCAAACAACCATTTGCATATTCTTGATATATCTGATTCAGCTGAAATGGAATCTGCATGTTTGACGGATAAAGCTGATTAAACTCTAGCAGTGAAAGAATAAGAATAATTATTGGTCATTTTAAGTTTAATTGTTAAAACCTACTGAATTTATGTTATTAACTTCTTGGGGATGCCTACGACGCCAACATTGCCCCTGTCATCTGGGTTGTGGTTGACTTCTGCTTGGATGTCTTCAAAATATTACGCAAACGGTTGTAGACTAAAGCGTTTTTGAAAATGGCATATTGTTTAATTTGAATAAAAAGTGATGTTTTATTTGACGAGCATGGAAATAGACGGAGGTATAGCAGGGAATGACAACCATACGAGTTACAAAAATTCTTTTCCTTTGAGTGAAAAATAATATATTGGTTCAAAGGAAGGAATGATATTCAAGCATGAAAAATATATGATCTTTTGATGATCACTTTCAATTCTGGCGGTAGTTCAAGTTGACACTTTTTTTGCCTCCGGCACTAAAAGCAGAATGTTACCATGGTAATTTTTTGAATTTGATAGAAGATCCATAACGACCAGCTTTCCCACCCACCAGAAATGCAATACGCTTTTCGAAGCGCGTTTCACCAATCAAGTTGGCGTTCTCAAGGAATGAAGAAAACAGTTTTTCCCATCTCCTGAAGATGCGCGCGTCGTGAAGAGTATTGCAGTTCTGGTGTTTGGTAAGAGTGCTTTTTCGGTTTCATCCAAAAAATCTAGTTCCACTTTTCATCTCCAGAGGATATCAGGAAATCAGTTACGAAACATTCATTTTTGAAGACAGCAGAAGGTTGTTATACTTAGCTTATTGAAAAGATAAATTAGTAAGAATTGTAGATAATAATTGCCATAATTTCAAAAAGATAGGAATGCAGAAAAACGTCACGTTACTTTATAAATCTCGGTATTTGTCCCCAAATAATGTAGTCATGAAGAAATAAAAAATAGACGGACTTGAGGAAGTTAACAATATAGAGGGTTAAGTTGCCAATTTACCCATCGTTAACACATACCAATAACGTGATAGTTTCCAATTTCGAATTGGAAACATAATGAACACTTTGAGATTACAACTTGGCCCAAGCGTCCAAAATGTTAAATCAAAAAATTATAGGCGCTTTCAACTTTTTTATGAGTGAAAAAAGGGGCTTGTGGCATTTCGTATGAAAAAAAATTCAATTCTCCAAACAATCACTTTTTGTGATTCGTCAAACCGTTGTAGACTTACTGATATTTGAATTTGAGACTAGACACTTTTTAACTCCGCCACACAATCTCAGATTTTTTGTTCATTTAAAACGAAAATGAATTATTGTTTGAAATCTTTGATGTAGTAATGGATATAACTGGTGTTGGGATAACACTCTAGTAATATTTATAAAACTAGAGTATTTCAATTCAACCCTGTTATCATTCATTCCATACATAGAAAAGTCATCTGAGCAAATGTTCTTCTTGCACCTTCTGACAGTGAAAGAGCCATTTTCGGAATTCATGTCTAACATTTTGAAATGTTTCTGGGGTAATATCAGCACAAGCTTCGGTGATTCTGTCTCTTAGTTCCCGTATTGTTCCAGGTTGCGTAACATAAACTCATATGCTTGAAAAAATATTGGGGCGCACTATGTCGTTGGAAAACAACTGGATTTTTTGTTTCATCTCATTATTGGCAACAATTTTTTGAATCCGTGGGTAAATGAGGCTTTGAAAATTTTCGAGAAGTATTCCTGCCCAGACATTTATTTTCTCGTATATTTTCACGGTTGACATTTCCGTTTGACGAAAACTCAACTGTCACTAAAAAAACACTTTTCATATAGTATAGATTTGCAATCAAACGTTCGAAAATTTACTCACAAAACTGTATTCTTCTGTCAGAGGCATCTTCATTTGATCCATGTAATATATTCAGTTATTCCATAGAAATTCTGCCCGTCTTTGAAATCCTGCCTCGTCCAAAAGATATTATTGATATCCTCCTTTCGGTTGAATCTCGAGATCATTCGGGTTTGCCGTACTACGGCGGAAGTTTTGGTCAGACAAATGCAGAAAGCTGTCGCTCTTGATTGAATGCTTCTTCTCAGGCCGAGCGATTCTTGGATCTGATGACCTTTTATCTCACGAGGTGAGCATTGGTTATCGATTCGGACCTGATCTCCTCCATACGAGTTTCGACTCGAGGAACCTCTTTAGCGAAAAGTAATGATATACGATTTGGTTATGGTGGAGTGGTGCTTCCGCTCCTCTGTCTTATTACACTACGAGAAAAATAGCCGGACGAATGCTCTCATTCTCATACATGATTCTCTGACCAAATGATCACTTCTCTTAAGGTAAAAATTAGGTTGTTTCAAAAGTTTAATCCGTTGTAATGTCATGTGTTTTTGTAGCTCCACATCTCAATATTTTTTTTTCTACTGTGCCGTGGTTTATACTGGTCGATAGAGAATTTTTTACTCTATACATTGATGCTGTTCTTTTTTTTCCCTAATACAAATTTTTTACCTCTTTTCAGCTTATATTATATTAGGCTATTTTTCCCAAATTGAACTGAGGCGCTGCTGAAACCGCCCGAAAAATTAACCAGGTATTTGGTAATGACAGTGTTAATGAACGAACGGTTCGACATCGGTTTGCGAAATTTCGTTCCGGAGACGAGCCCCTAAGTAGTCGATCTAAAGTAGTCTAGGACGAGGATTGAGGAATCTGGTGAAGACTGACTCATCGCAAATGGTGCGTGGAATGGTGGATGAACAGGGCGTCAGCTCTCATGCGGTTTTTGATGATCTAAAACGTATTGAAAAGGTTGAAAAGCTCGAAAAGTAGATGGACCATGTGTTGAATCATGTTTCGAAGTCTGCCCTTCTTTGCTTTTGCGCAATCAAAACGATCTTTTTTTGGATCAGATCGTCACGTATGATGAAAAGTGGATTCTTCACGATCACAGAAGACATTCAGGACAGTAATTAGACACCGATGAGCCACCCAGACACGAAAAAACGACCATGATTACTGTATGGTAGGTAATTGCTTCAACAGCAGCTGGCACTGTTCAAGGAAAGAACTCCGAACGTGCGGATGAAAGATCATCCGCACGTTTCACAAATCACCGTTCAAAAATTAAACGACTTGAGCGTTGAAATTCTGCCTCACCCACCATACTTTTCAGAACTGTCACCAACCGATTACCATCTTTTCAAACACTTCGATGATTTTCTCCCTGGTAGAACCTTCGCCAATCAGGACCAGGCAAAAACGGCCTTCAATGACTTCATCGAATCCCGAACACACAATTTCCATGCTGACGAAGTTAATCGACTTGTGTTACGTTGGCAAAAGTGCATTGATTTAAATGACTTATTTTGATCTAATCGAATGAGTATTTACTGAGATATTACACTTTAAATGAGACTCTTGAAAATGAACAAAACTTTTGAAACAATCTGATAGATGCCGGCGCGTCATTACGGAGTAACTAATTCGTATGAACTTACTTGTTCTGAATAATTGCTGAAAGTTTTTGACAGACGAAGTACAATGTAATAAAAACCAAATGGTTTTCAAATGACGATATAATTTTTAACCTTCCGTTACTCGCGCACGGTGTCCCAAAGCGGTCAGAAATATATTAAAAGAGTATTTACGACATAGGAGGCTATGCAGCCTCCCCCTCCGCGAACCTTTCGACCACATGACCAGCTAATATCCCACTCAGTTTTATGTTATTTGGAAGCAATTTTCCAAAATATTGAGTAATCACGGTGAAGTAGACCGGATGCGAGTGACGTATTTTAACTGTTTGTAAAAAATCCAGACAAAATCCGTGAATATTCCAAGTTTTACGTTATTTGGAAGCAGTTTTCCAAAATGTTGAGTAATCATGGTGAAGTAGACCGGATGCGAGTGACGTAGTTTTTTGTCTAGTTCTATACTTAAATTATTCTAATTTTCAACCCGGTCTCCCCCACCGTCCGCGAGTAACTACGTACCAAAATTTGGCTTGGATCTGGTTTTGACTATTTCGATATATTAAGTTGGTAACACCTTCTAACACTCCACATTCTGTCAAGTGTTTTCTGATCACTGCCATCATATCTTAACTCTATACAGATATTCTAACTCCTGTTTCTCAACCCTTAGAGTGTTAGGTCCGTCTTTCAATTCCGTATGAGTCCGTTCACTCGATTTCAACTCTGAAAGGTCCCCTAAAGGGCAAAGGAAACCTCAGACAAACCAGAACGCGTTATTCTCCATAATTTCGGCTACTTACCTTGATAAACTGGAACGTGCCGATAGGCGGAAGCCGCTTCAGATAGGGGTAGAAGAAAGATCCTGCGGGATGAGCTGGGTAATGGGCCGTGATGCGATAGGCCTCGCCCTGCGGTTCTGTCGGCCAGTTCGGAGCCGTGAAGGTGAAGCCGTTGTCGGTGCCTGCATCGATGGGATCCACCTGCGAGAAGAATTAACGAAGATTATTGAGGATTACTGGCGGATTGGGCAATTATGTTGAGGGTGAAAAAATATGAGGATAATGTTGTACGATTTGTGTTATGGACGAGTCAACGTAGCAACCGATTCCGGAATATTAACTGTACTGTAATGACATGTCTAACGGACATGTATCGTATGATATTTTATTACATTCTGATATTTCGTGGTGCATTTGATTTGTTGGCTGTTGCTTGTATTTTATTCCATTGCAATTTCAGTTTTTTACTAGTAAAAAGACCTTAAGATTATGAATAGGTATCAATAGATATACGGGTAAAAACCAATAAAATGAAAATCAGCAATTTCAGTTGAGCAATCTCAACGGATCTACATCCTCCTGGTCAGTAGATGAAACTGTCCATCAGAACTTTACAAAATCCACAATTCCACCACTAAACACGCGGATGGTTCAATTGCAACAACAGCCACAGAAAAAGCAAATCTACTAGCTGAACAATTTGCGTTCCACTCCACAGTCGATTTTCTGGGGAAGGCACCACCCACTGTTCTCGCACTAGGATCCATAATGCCGGATATTACTTTTCGACAGCGTCTAGTCAGGCAAATTTTGAAACAGATCAATAACAACAAGGCGTCTGACCCTGACGAAGTGCCCTTCATCGTACTTAAAAAGTGCTCAAATGAACTCGCACTAGTATTTTGCAGATTTCAAACCTGCCTTACAAGAAAGGGGTTTTTCCTTGTTGTTGGAAGATTGCTGGCGTTCAGCCTATTCCCAACCCGCTTTGCCATCAGTGATATCAGAAATCATAGAGAAAGTCGTAAACCACCATATTCTCAAATATTTGTAAATGAAACATTCTGTTTATTTACCACTCTTATTTGTAACTAATGTTACTGCAGTTTCATCCTATAAAGACATTTTCAAACAATTGTAAGTGAAAATGTCCTTATGATACGGAACTGCAGTAACATTAGTTACAAATAAAAGTGGTAAAGAAGAGTAGAAAGTTTTATCACAGTTTGAGGCGGGACTTTTATGGATGAATATATCTTGAATACTTTCACCATCAACGCTGGTGTTCCCCAGGGATCCATATTGTCTCCAACCCTCTTATTATTGTATATTAGAAGGAAACGAAAATCCAATACACTGCTTTGCTGACGACAGCATAGTTATCTCGTCATTCCATTTGGATTCTAGGACATCGACTACGGAGGCACATCCTCACCGGCAGCAGGAGATTGCTTATATACAAGTATCTTAATGAGAATCCAGAAATGATTTCGTATTGGGGTGAAAGTAACCAGGTTCAATTCAATGCCACAAAAACCCAGACATGGGTTTTCTCCAAGAAGATAAATGTTTTCGAACTAGATATAATAATGTCAGGTCAGACAATTCTGCTTTCTGCCTCGATAAGTTTGTTGGGAGTTGAAATGGACACCGAGAAAGTTTTGGCACAATCATGTCGCTGGAATTGCAAAGGCTGCTTCTCAAAAGCTTGGAACACTGTTCCGAACCAGAAAACTATGCACACCAAAGCAACTTTGATGCTTTATAAAGCTCAGATCAGACCTTCTTTGGAGTATTGTTCTCCTGTATGAAGCTCTGCCCCCAAACATACCCTGAAGTTGCTGGATTCCATTCAGAAAAGAGCCATCCGCCTGATTGGAGACGCGAACATCACGTGCAACCTTGATAGCCTGAAACATCGAAGAAAGATTGGAGATTTCTTTTATAGATACTTGCACGAGAGGTGTTCAAATGATTTGGCACATTCGATTTCACCAAGAGCAGTATATATCAGAAATACGCGACAGACTGTGACTGCTCATCGTTTTGAGGTTCACCTCGAACTTCACTGTTTAAAAACTCTCTCATCTGGGGAGCTGCGTTTATGTGGAATGAACTTCCTGAGAATGTTTTTCCAAATGGATTTAATCTCTAACGATTCAAGTCCAATGTTTATCGCACAGACACCGCTCTGAGAGCGCCTCAAGGATTTTCCTGTAGTGCTTGTGTTTTGTCTTTGAAAAATATACCATAGTTTTAAAATTTTTTGCATTCACTAGCAAGTGCCCAAAATGTGTCAATAGATAAAGGTGATGAAGTGAAAGTTACTAATTGTTACCAACTATTTAGTTAAGCTAAATAGTATAAAAAACGTAATTTGGAATCCATTTAATCATTATATGATATTCTACATCAACTAGCGTTGATTGAAAAGTGTTTGAATACGTGTATGAATGTTTTTCTTTTCTGATAAATATTTGAGACCAAGGCGCACAGTAGGTCCATATTTTTCTAGTTGGCTATGACTTAGACGCAAATGTTGATGAACCCGGGAAAAGCAGGCAGGGGCAGAAATGAATCTTCATTCAATAAAAAGAGAAAAATAGTAAAAAACTTCATTGAATGGTTGGAAGCTGAATTACTATTGAAAGCTAACATCAGGAAGGTAGTACAAGAGCTCTGATCTTAACATCAATAAAATGTGAAAGAATGTGCCATAGTGGAAGCGAAGAAGAGAAACAAACAAATGGGCCATTCAAATTTTCACCAATTATTCAGCAGATGCAGAGATTTCTAGTAAGTGAAGTGGAATCTTTCAGTAAGATTCTTCTTAAAGAAATCGACTGATCTGGAAAGACAAAACAAAAATCACTTTACTATAATCACAATTCGTTTCATAACCAGGTGGCTAACGTGTTAGGGATCACACGTTGAAAGGTGTGGCCTCGTTAGTCCTTAGCTCGCACAAGTTTCTCAACTTCTGAGAGTTGTATGGGGGCGACAGCTGATTAACGGAAAAACAGATTTGAAACAGAACAGATTTCAAAACCAGGTCATTCGCTTATTTCTTTCAGAAAATCGAAGATACATTTGAACTAGATATGAATATTATTAGAGTTTTTTCCCAACACCAAACTATTGAAAGTGATTTTGAAACTAGATGTCTCATATTTGCACCATTTCTATTACTTGAGTAATATATATGTATGTATAGACATATAACTTTTCAGAACTCCATAAATACCTGTGAAAAATAATTTCTGATTATAAAGTTTTCACTCATAATATGATGAACTGTTACTATGAATATAATAGTGTGTCTACGGCATTGACAAATATGGTTATTAGCCGCGTGTTCATGGTGGCCTATGTTGGTAACTCTTAGATTATCATAGCTATTTGTACTTCTGTCAGCCATGTACCTAGCAGAACAAATAAATACACTTCCAACTATTCTTTCGAGAATGCTTCTTCAGACATTACATGAAATATGGCAGCGTAGATTATCTTACAAGGTATTCTGAAGTATACAACAAATATAAATTTTGCCGAAGTCGCCGGACATAACAGTAATGGTGAAGTTGTCAGCTGCAACAATATTGGCGAATTCGCCGATATACGAATCTGGAAACGAAGTTTCGGTTACCTAATTGACGAAATACGTAAATCAAATATTAGTCCCACTATGTAAATCTAGCCAAGTTTGTAATAACTCATTATCTCTACCAGTGTTCAGAACAAAACTAATTCAAACAAGATGATCAAGCATACTCTATACATTTATAATGAGGGTAGACGCAATCATTAACACTTCACATATTCAATATGGGTAATTATGAGTTAACATAGTTGATTTCCACATTTTCAATTTTCATATTCATGTTTGTAATATGGCTTTCATACCAACAATTCATGATTTATCACATATTTTATGATTGAATATGTACGCATTTAATCGAGTTTTGATGCAATCGACTATCAAGTTCAACGTGTTCTACAGTTTTGGCTTTTCATTTGTGTGAATTCATTTCAATTGAATGTGTAGGGTGAAAATAATATTTCACAATCTACACAACATTGTGTCTCGCTCAGAAGATGACACAGTGGGTCGAAACATATGTTAGTATTGAATGTGAGTGTTGTGTAGATTGCGAAGTACTATTTTTACCCTAGCCATTCAGTCGAATTTAATATAAAAATGATTTGGAATATTTTGGACGCAAATGGGAACGATATAATATTTGCATGACACCACCTGTTTGTAAAATCTAACATTTAAATACAGTTCGACTTCAGAACACCTCGATTTAGTGATAGTTTATTGTTATTTTCAAAGTTACTTCAATCAAATTCAAAACTGCAGTTGAAGTAACTATACCTCTCCATTTTCAAATACTGTATCCACAAGTTTAAGCGTTGTATCATGAACAAATATAACCTTCATTAATATTTACATCAAAATTGAAAATAAATGCAATTCACATGTCAGCACGAAAAATATGGAATGCACTTTCCAACGTATTACGAAAGTTTCAAGCAACATTTGTCATAAACCACTTTGAAGTTGAGAATTCATCAGTTGATAATATGTTTTCTATGTTAACAATATTCCATCAGGATTCATATTGTGCTTTCTTGACTCAAATTGATGAAAGAGAGAGAAATAGTCGACATACCTATTTGTGTTTTTCATTCAAATATTCAATAAGAGGACTGTTATATTGGTAGAAAATACACTTGCGTACCTTGGAAATGCGAAATTAAATTTTAATTCCCATCAGAATTTTTTAACTTGAACCTTGATACTAGGTGGAAGTATTGAAAACTTTACGCTACAAAAAATTCATGAAATGATCGTTTGAAGTTGAAAATTTTTCGTATCAAATTAGAGTTTTAATGCTTCAAAGTTCATTTGTCTCAGTAACTTGATGAACAAAAACTAATTCAGAGTATAACATACTCGTGAAGAAAAAACTGGTAGATGGTGAAACAAATTCGAAATAACCATATTCTCATCGAATTGTGCAACTTTAGCTTTTTTATGATTTCAGTACCTTCATGACTTATACACAAAATTACTTATCGCGCAAGTTTGGAATGAAATTCATGTGTTACAACAGTATAACTTTTCTGTTAGATATTTTATTATAAGTGTCACCATTACATTTGACCAAACTGAAGACAATTGAAACTCAGAAGTGGAAGCAAAACTGAAATCAGTCTTTTACATCTTCAAATAATTTAGACTAATATTCTTTAGTAGTCATAACTCCTTCCACTCTCGGGTCAACCTCACTTGAAAAGTATCTGAATTGATTATGTGCTCAAAAGTCGAAACAATTTTACATAAACTCAAATTTTTGCTCTGAATTCAACACAAATTTTTCAATATTATATTGACTTCAATCAATAACTCTCATCATTTTTTGGGGCAGTATTTTCAGGATATTTGTGCGACATACTGTATATTTTTCAAAACGCTGTATATTTTACGACGCTGGCAGAATGGAATTCTTGATTATTTCAATCTGTACTTCGTGTTGGCTAAGCATTAAAATAGCTGATTAAGTTTAAACTCCCATAAAATAATTATCCAGTCATCATCCAACAATCCATATCACCTACATCTAATCAATGACAGAGTTGATTTAATGCAATACCCACCTCAATGGTGATGCTGTCAATCCAATTTCCGTTGACGCACAGGTCAAAACTATCGATGCCTATAAACCAATCCGGAGAGGGTACGATTCGGGACATCAGGGACACCTGCAATAAAATGAAACAAAATATTATGAATTAGTGGCCAGATCTATTAACATTCACTGAATAATTAATCAATGTTAGTTTGAATGAGAAAGTTCTCTGCTTTCATTCAAATGTATTTTCAATTTATAGTCCACACGAAAGTTTTTATCGAATGAAATATTTTTGTCATCATTCTGATTATAGAAGAGATATTGATTGATTTTTTATGGGACCTTCCCTCTTACACAATCTGAAAAAGATGAAATTTGTTAGGGAAAACTTCATTCAGATGTAGCATGGATAAATATATATTTCGACTCGATACGTAAATTCAAAATATTTTTCTCAAATTCAAGAGTTCTGTTTATCAGTAATTTGTCGTATTTGATGATTCTGTCCATCGAAAAACGAAGCTAAGGATTTCAAAGTGTATTTATCTTGATAGTTCTGAGTCTTGATTCGAAGAAAATTTGCCATCTGTCGAGAAAGTTTAAAAAACTTTCAAGAACAGAACTGAAAAATACAACTGATTTTCAATTCTGAAGACGGAGCTATATCCAGATCTCTGCAACATCAAGATATATACCTATCCTATTGAATCCTTTTTCATTGGAAGGCAAAGTTATCAAATGCGGCAAGTCAGTGAAAAATATATCCCATTGGGTTGAACTGGAAGTTTGCCCTTTCTATACCTGTACAAGGATTCCCAATTCAATTTTTTAATTCGAATTGTGGAAGGTAGAGTTCCAAAAAACTGCAACTGAAAGTCAGATTTATCTACAATAAATGGTTTTATTCGAAGTGGCTGTTGTATTTAGATGAGGTGTATCTGAATGATTCTGTATTTCCGTACTTTTTTGTATATAAGGTTGGTGTTCATGTTCATGTTCCTCTCATGAAATTGAAAAAAAGAAAGAAAATTTATATTGACCCATAAATGAACTTTGCTGGAAACTGTATAACTTTGGAGTAGATAAGATGTACGCTGTGCCTTCAAAAGTTGATCTGAACTGACAGTACATTCTGTTTCGTACATTTGAGTTCGACGAAACTGAGGCCAAATAATTTCTGTAATGTAGCCGAAAGCGTCATTAACCAATACTTCCGCTATGTCAATATTTTAAAGTGTACTACTATTCTACTTGTCAAGCCTTGTCATTTGATACTCATATTAAGGTAGTTGTGAAATAGTACGCCATTTTGTAGCTGCGGCCATCTTGTATTCACAATGATACAGAATTTATTGAATTGTATTTTCATCAAAACTTAATGTGAGTACCAAACGTCAGATCAATCTGTCAACAGGAACTTCAATTACTAAATTTGATCCAAACAAGCAGGGCAAGCCGTTTAATAATCAACTAACGACTCGCTCCGGCTCCGCAAGGGTGCAATGCTGATACTAAATATGAATTCACCCACCGAAAATTCAGGGGCATNTCATTATTATTCATTATTATCTGCCGTATATATAATTCTTATGAGAAGCCAGAATGAACTAGGAGAATTACTAATTCAAGAGTGATATCAAGACTGGTCAGAGAATGCTTTGAGAAACTGAAGAATAAATTTACTTCATAATGGGTGTATAGACTTCAAAAGCTGATGAGTGTGATGGATACGGATCATCAGCCCCATATAACGACCCCTAACCTCAAGTTATGGTGACCAGATCAAGAAAATTCTTAAAAAATATGAAGAATTCTGGGAAAATGTACCCGACAACACGAACAGAAAAATCTTACGAAGAAACTGTCTAAGAAAACTGAAGAACCGCTCCAGGAAAAGAAATATCAATGACCCCACGGGCAAAAAAGATACTCAGAAACAGTTCTTCACCTGCAATGGAGTCTTTCAGTTGAAATCCAAATCGAGGACAAAAATTCAATGGAATGAGTAATTACAGTATCGTAATAGCCAAATCAGCAAGAGAATCAATCGTAAGAAAATCTCTGAGAACTTATACGTACACGACAATTCGAATCTTCGCATAAATTATGGTTGTGATTAACTCAGTAGGCTCAACTTTCAGTTATGTCACAATAGTGCTATGGAAAGCAACGCAAAATAAGTGGTCATCTCGCTTTGTTCTCACAATGTTCAGTGAGAATACGATGTTTTCAATTAAATAACAATTCTATCGTGAAAAACATCTTCTATTTTTCTAGTTTTCTCTTCCCTGTGTTTTTTATTTGTTTTCCATCTTTGATTACTTTTTCTTGTCCTTGCTCGTTTTGATGTCTTTTCCTCAAATTTCCTAGAAGAGTTATTCCTTTATCCCCTACAAAAGTCAAAGTAAAACTTTGGTGTCACATTTAGATCATAGGTTCATGAATGTATGGCTGATATATGAAGGAACATATTCATTGAGTTTCAAGTAGTTACCTCTAATAACAGGTTTATGCAGCTAGAGTAGGAAGTGTTACTTGAATAGCATCATTCAGGAGCTTTTCATGGCGAATGTATCAGGAATGAAATTTCACTTCGTGACAAAATTTTGGAAAGTTATTTCTGTCTTTACTTTGCAGTGTTCAAGTGTTGAGATCACATGTATTAATTCAAATTGTTTCTTAGCTAGGATACTCAAAACAGAAAAAATAACAGTGTTCAATATGCTTTTGACTTTGAGCGGGCATGATTTTGAACTGCCATTCTGGTTTGAATACTGTCAATATAATTCAATATTATACTTTGGTATATGATTCGACAAATTTCGACAAAGTAGTTGCTGCAGTATATCTTATTATACACATGCTATAAAAAAGACAGTTCAACTGACACAGTGAAAATGTTCAATTTATTTTTGCCATAGTTTCGTCTATGGTACACTGAATGTAGTGCATTCTATCGTATTGTATTATTTCATCGGTTGAATTCATTTCAATAAATAATAGAATATATACAAGGTAGCCTCTTTCTGAAGTTCAAAATAATTTATTTGAAATTATTTTTAAAGTTTTCTCTGCATTAGTTGATGATTTATTTGATGGTGTTTGAAAGCTTCCTGGGTATCATTTTTGAATTATGTAAAACAGTTGATTCGTTCAGCATGGAAATTTTAACTCAGGAATTTGAAGATCATCAAATATTTAGTTACTACGATACACGTTCGAAATGGACTGATGAAAAATATTTCTCGCATTTGTCGGTTGATATATTGACGAATTATGTACCCTCATGAATTTTTTCAACTTCGATGAAATGGCGTCACTTTTTATTGAAGAAATATTTTCAATGCCATTGTTACCATACATTTTCTTTCGTAGATAGATGATGAACATTCTCAAATAAAACTGAATCTGTTAATGAATCATCGAGAATGTTCCTCACCTTGATAATAATTCCTGAAGATCAACAAAAAAATCGTAAATTGCTCGACGGTGAGTTTATTTATAGAACATGGACTCGAAATGACATAAAATACTGAATATTGTGAGTGTTATGATAATAAATGTCCAATTTTCATTGGCAGTAATGAAATGCTTTCATACTCGTACACTGGAGACCTCAATCAGTTTGTTTATAGGTAAATTATAGATGTAGGTACAAACGATATGATCCTGGTATATACAGAGTGGGTCAAATTAGACACTTTCAAAGGGAAACTACTGTTTTGAAACTAGATAGATGAAAACTGATGGTTGTGTCTGAGGATCAAATTATATTCCTGTACATTTCAATAGAGCCTAAAATTACTTTTCCAAAAATTTAGCAAACTTAAAGTTGTGCTAGAATCATCTTTGAAACACAGAGCTTTTAGGTTTTTTCATGTAGATTGGAAACGCACACTTTTATCAAGTAGGCTTTGGACGATACGGCGACAAGACAGAATGCAAATCTTTACTGGTAGTTGTCAAATTTTGATTGAAGCAGTAATCACACTCTTCAATTATTGGTTTCTGTTCAACTCTCGAACACATTCGCAATGAAGTATGAGAATGATGAAAAATGGGAAGAACAGCAAGTAATTTGTATCACGAGAGGAATCTAAATAGACACAACTTAATTGATGGTGGTCAATTTGAAAAGGAAAAACCAAATTTATATGAATCAAATAAGAATGAAGAGTTGAAGAAAATAGTAGTTTTAGGAACTGTTGAAAATGATATCAAAATGTCAACGTGAAATTTAAAGATATCAACAGGCCTTTCAAGAACTAACGTTAGGAGGATTTTGGAAAAACACAAATTCAAGCCATACAGTACCAGAAGAGTTTATCAACTCAGACTAGGAGATTTTCCATCGCAGCATGGAGCAGATGCTATTGTGGAGCAGATGAGATAAGGAAAATTTGAATTTAGTGGGCACAACACCGCAATTGTCACTAATTTTGTGGCTGCAAATTTTGGTGATAATTGGAAAGCCAATCAAGGACTCAAGCCAGCCAAGTCACCGGACCTAACGCCTATGGACTTTTACCTATGGGGAAGGATGAAAGATTTTATTTTCAAATTGCCGACCAATTCTAGATACGAATTGGAACCGGCAGTGATGCAAAGTTCTGCTTCTTTCACTACTATTGAACTTAATGATTCGGAAAAAACAACAATGAAATATATTTCATTGTTTGTTCTTTATCATCATTATTATTGTAGAAGTTTGATTTATTAGTAGTGAATATAATAAAAATTGTTATCAGTTTTAATGAAATTATGAATTACTGCTGTGGAAAGCTTTCTCAACATTTGATAGCTACTACTGAACAATATGTTTCTGTTTATTCGCCACGTCGTCTAAAGCCTGCTTGATCGAAGTGTGCGTATTTCAACGTTTGTGTGAACGTGACTGACAATGTTTCATGATGAATTTCACTAGTTCGGACTTTCATTGTCCATTCCATTGTATTAAGCAAAAAAAACCTGAACTGAAATAATAGTGAAATAAAATACAAGTAAAAATAAAACAATTGAACAAAAAATAAAAATAAAGAATTACAAAATGAAAATAAAGATAAAAATAAAAAGTTAAGAGATTTCAAGCCAAGTTAGTTCACGACGTCCACATTCGTCTTCTGGTGCTGA